GATTGTTTTTAATTAATAATTTCTTAATAGCTAAAGCAAAACATGGCTTTCCTATCTGTGCCATTTTTTTCAGACTCTCTATAGGCTTTGTAAACGAGTCGATTAGTCGATTACATTTTCAGAATACGTTTCCAAAATTTAATACGGATTAGATTTCTGCAAATACTAAGCGGATATCGTCCGAGTTCACCCATAACTGCACTGTTGGTTGTATTTTGCCCCACACCTAATATATATTTACACCACTTTAACTGAACATCTTCAATTGGTTTACAATACCGATTTCCTATAACTGCCGCTCCATAGTTTAAAATTCGTTTAATTTTCGAGTCAAATATTTTTTGAAGTAATTTTGGTGAAATTTCGTTACAATTCCTTTCCTGACCGCGTACGCTGCCTTTGAAGCTTTTCCGGCCAAAATTGCACATGCCAACTTAAATGAACCATTTTCGGCAAAGACAACGCCTAGATATGTATAATTTACAACAATATCAATTTGATTTCCAAATAATTTAAAATCCAAGTTATCGTCATCACAGTCACGAATATAATATTGGAGATAATAATTTCAGTTTTAGTGGTGTTTACAAACATTTTCCACGTATAACAATAAAATTGAAATCTGGCAAGTAACAACTGTAAACCCGAAGCACTATCAGATACAATAACGGTGTCGTCGGCATACATTAGACATGTTAGTGGATAATCATCCAATTTATAAGATTGTTCCTGATTGGCCAACCAACCCTAATACCCAATAGTCAGACCAATCAGAGAGCAGCTTGTTTGTTGGCAGGTTTTATCAATTTATCAAATTTTGCCTTCTATATATACATGTACATGTATGCTTTGACTCAACTGAGTAACTGTTCCAGGTTTGTGTCAATGTTTTTTATTTTTGAGAACTTTGAGTGTAAGACCCATTGTTGGATTTGGGCACGTTGGCAAGCGTTCTTATCTACCGTACTAGCAGTATCAGCTAGAAGTAGAATTTCACTCAGTTCAACTTTTGTTGGTACAACATATATTTGTTTTTTTAAATGTAAAAATAATCAAACTGTGGCATACGAGAATGAGCCTTTTTGTGATCACTCGACCTCTTCTGCTTCTGTTAGAGAGATGTACTTCAGATAAACCAACAATGGTACATGTACAAGCCAGATTTCCTGAATTATCAGAAACTTGTTGGTGTCAACTGTTGTTGAGATTACATTTACTAATATACGTGTAGAATCACAAGCTGGTATGGATTACAGTGTATGCATCACCAACTATACTTACTCTGCATTATTCTGAATAATTGGAAATGATTGGTTCACAATCATTTCAATTTATGTAATTGATTTAATTTGCTCTGTCCATCTTCAAATTGATTTAGTCAATACAGATGTATAGTAGACAATATTTGCTAATAGTTGAACTAAGTTCAAAATTCTGTAAAATACTTTTTTTTAGGTTTAATTAATTTTTGCTAAAAAGACTTTTTTTCATTGTTTTGTATGGAGTTTATGTTCACTGATTTTTGATGAGTTGAAGTTGATGAGTTGAAGAAAAAAGTTACAAGGATTTTATTTTCAGTGAATCACCTCTTCAGTGAAAAGCATAAATAAATTCCAAGCAAAAAGCATTTTACAGTAGCTAGACAATGACCAATGACTTCTTTCTCAATATTATATTTATTGGTCTGAG